GTCAATTTAGCTGCGAGCAGACAGTGTGAGAATCCTGGTTATTTATGTTATTAACACCAGTTTTGCTGATTGTGACGTGCTAGTAGACTCACAACATGTGGTTTATTGAGTTGGGGGAAAAGTTAACTAGATGCTCACACTTAGTAGGGACTCCAATCAAAATTGCTTAGAGCATCACTTTAAGGCATGCAACCCATTAGAAGCGAGGTAACCAAAGTCCATATTGCCAACAAGACCGAATTTATCGAATCATAGCTAGCCGATTAAAATAGTTACCAGATCCTCGTGTAGAAATCGAGCTAAAATGTCAATAAAACCAAGTGATTGAACCACAAGGGAATTAAATGCAGCAAAAGGATGCCTAAATTAGTTTTGATTGGCTCGGCCACTGCAGACGATGATAGTGTATTTCAAAGTAAGAATGAAGTTGACTCTTGATATTACAAAGAAAGAGTATAAAATGGAAAAATCACAATTATTACTGGCACCTTAGCAACTTTGACGGCACAATCCTCCTCTACTGCCCGAATTTTGGCATCAGCTGCAGAGAGTATAGTGTTCTTGCTGGCCTCAGCTTTGCACATCTGCTCACGAAATGCAACTTCCATGCGCTCCATCTGCATTAGCAGATCCCTAAAACACGCAATAAAAGAGAGAGGTAAAAGGGGAATACATATTTTAAAAACAAAAGGAATGAAGTGAACAAATCCGACCTTGGTCCCTCCTGCTCATGTCTATTACAGATTCTTGCTTTAAGTTCTTATTACAATAAGACTGGAAATATATTGGAAAGAGTTTATTTGTGGTTTTATTTCTATAAAAATACCGGTCTTTATTAAGAGTAGTAAATAAATCGTATATTTGATGTTGTAACATGAGACTGAATGGGCATCCGGACTACAGCCACTTAAAGTTAGACACCAGTGTGGCATCATAGGTCTTGACAATTGAACTAACTCAGTATGTAGAAGTGGGTTGACCTCGTTTTTGCAACTGGGTCTTGTTGTCAGGGGGACTTAGTTGAACACACCTTGTCTGAAGTCTTCTGTCCCAGCATCAGACCGTAGACTTAGTACATTCTCAGACGTTTCGCTGGCAATATAGTCATCATCAGTGAGTCTTGTCATTCTCCGCAACAAGCTACAACTCATCAAAGAGACAAGTAAAGCTATACCGAGGGCCATAGCATCTTGGTCTTCCTATCTACCTCAATTTGGTTTTTCTAACGAATCATGACTTGGCCGGCAAATTATAGATAAATTCCATGCCGAAAATCATTAGCACTAAAATGGATCATGATTTTGGCTTAATATAAGTCATTTCAGAATGTTTAGCGGAAGATGAGCTCAGGAAATACAAGTTCACATATTAGCACATTTACTCTTATATGTGGGTTGAGAGAGAACCGCCTTGCTGAGTTCTTCCTGTATCCAAGTGCGTTTAGGGCTATTGAATCTGGTATGTAATATTTTGCATCTGACCCCACAATTAATGGGTATACGTCAATCGGAAAGTAGAAACAAGATCGAAATGGCAGTTGAAGCAGAACAGAAACCCTTATAATACATAGGAGAAAAAGTTAATTGCATTTGTAACTCTGCGCTAACGATGGCGCCCCTCACTGACGATACGTCTATGAATGTATTAAGTCAATGGCACGATGCTGAAAATCACGAATACAAAGGACGCAAGACTATGACCATTCCACAAGGTCTCCCAGACACTCCGACGAGGTCAGGCCAACACCATACAGCTAAAGGAGACTGCGACCAAAGGGAAGGCCACAGCATCTTGAACTTCATATCTACAGTCAAATAATGTGTTGGAGTACATCTGATGGCGTTTTAAAAGATGAATAGAAGGTATTCGTAAGTCGGTCTCGAAACTGTAACCGTAGATTTGTGCAAATAATTCCTCGTCCTATCTTCCCGCGACCCAGATGAATCCTTGTTAGGCTTCCGTCCGTCATGTGACGACCAGCTTTCTTGTCTTAGTGTTTTTGTGAGTTATAGTAAAGTGTGGTATTCAGCTTTGACGATGTCCGTCACACGACGGACGAAAGCTGAGAAAGGATTTATCAGAGTACAGGACGGTAATCTAAGAACGTATTTGGACAAATTTAGGCACTACTCTAAACTAGCCCCTCTTCGACTTCCGGTGAGACTAACTTACGAATCCCTTCACTCGCTTCTTTAAGCAAAGTGGAAGGTACTCCAACATCAATCTATTAGAAGAGTCTTCGAAACCTCGTTTTTCTACATATTCCAATGATAAAACGGTCAAAACTGGTACACTTTGATAACTAAATATATGAGCTTTACCATAGGTCATCTTTTACTAATAGTTGACCATTCAGGCTGAGCCATTGGGGTTGAAAATGCATAGTTACCTCGTTGCTATTCTAGACAGTGACGAATGATTCAAAATTTCGAGGCATATTTGTGTGGAAAACAAGAAATGAAGAACATAAGATGTATAAGTAAAACAAACTTGCGCTTTTAGGGCTCGAGTTCCGTAAGAAGCGGAGATTAGAGGTTGATGATACAACTTATTCTGAAAGAGAACCCCCCGAAAGGATAGATGGTAGAGAGGAATTCTATGTCGAAAGAATGCCCACTCCACACCTGATAGTGAGCACATAGACTATGAGTAGAAATTATATAATCCTTAAATGGCGTCACTTCGTCATCAAAATGAGCACGTTTTCAAGATAACAATTTTGAAAGCTAGGCATTGTGGTTTACAAATTTACTTAAACAATGTATTAGAACTGAATTGGGTTTTGAGATTGTCAGTAGATTTTGAATAAGAACTCTGGTCACCCTAGGTCACTTAAGGTGTTGGAGTACTGAGAGGAATATTTTCCACAGTGAAATAAATAGACCTCACGATGCTATCGAATTTAATTTAGCTCCTACGTCCAAAAAGTATTTTTATTCAGGCTGGAAAGCAATGCAGTTGTGATCTCTCCTGGGTTTCATAAGCGCCCCCAGCGGGAATTGAACATGAATAGTGCAGCGTATAATTTCGACATGTTGCCACTACGATACATTTCAACGAGTGCAATTTTGACACAGGGAGAAAGCGAATTTCAAGACAAAGTTCTACAGGTAGTCTCGAAATCCTACCCAATTCGAATTCGAAAAGTATTGTCGACTGTAAAGGCAAATACATCTTTGCTTCAAGGAGAATCCAATTATAAAAATGTGATGTGGGAGAGGCCTAACTTGCTTTTAAATTCAGTTCTGCCCTGTGGCCGATTGGCATTTATGGCAGCGCAGCGTATCTGTAACATGAAAAAATTATACGCTGAACTATTCGGGTTCAATTCCCGCTGGTGATGCTAAGACTAGGGCAAGGTAGAAACTGCAGTCAATCCTGGAATAAAATATCTTTTAGGAAGCAAGGCAAAGTGAAATTCAATGGCCTCATGAGACCTATTCATCTAATTATGGAAAAAGTTACTTTGTTATTTGGATTGAAGAGACATCGAAACTAACAGTTCTTATTCATTATGGGGCCTAAAAGAACCTAGACAGGATGCGTTTTTGTTGTAAATATCAAATAGCATTTAAATAACATATTTAGCTATTTGGTCTAACCAAGGGGTAAAGACACAAATATATGCTAGAAGAGCCGATTTGGAATTCGAAACAATTCATTAAAATAAAATACTTTTAAAATGCCTTTGTGAGTTACTTTTTTATAAAATCTCTAGACTTCTCTGTTGAGAAGACAGAGACCTGGTGAAAGCCGTAAAAGCAGGGTCAATCTATAGCCGAATTTGAGTTTTACAGGTGGACATGACATAACTCAAATATCATACTTTCATATTCAGGTAACCTTTCACTATTTCCCACTCAGTTTCGCTGTTTAATTTCCGCTTCTTCTTTCAGCTATTTATTCATTTGTAATGGCCTCTGTCTATACTTGTCCCAAGTCATAATATATATAACTGTGACCCGGTGCCAGCCGTAAGAGCAGGGTCAATCTATGGCGAATTTGAGCTTTACAGGTGGACGCAACATAATTTTAATATCACGAGGCAAAGAAAGGCATTATACTTTCCAATCCAAAGTAACATTTCACTATTCCCCACTCAGTTTCTCTGTCTAATTGCCGCTTATTCTTTGAACCATTTATTTGTGATGGTCTCTGTCTATACTTATACCAAGTCGTGAAATATATAACTGTGACTTAATAGCTATATCAAAAAAAAATATTTGCTTCTATATTTGTGCTTTCTATAACCCACTTGATGCGCAACTGAGCTGCATCACGCTGCTTCATAATTTTTGTTTGCTCTGCATGCCATTCCTCGCGCATCTGCGCCAACTGAGTCTCGAGACGGTCAAGGAGGGAGCAACGTTCCTTCCAGCGCTCACCAAGCGATCTGAATGGACAAACGTCAATCAGTAGGTAGAGAGGACGTGATGTAGACGAGGGTCCATCAACGATGCCAGCAACGAGATGAAGAAAAAATGATGGGCAAATGCGTGCATGAATGCCAGGATGAATGTGTAATGAAGGCAGTAAAAGCATGTACAAAATTATGGAGTGAAAGTAGGTCATATACCCGCGATGAGTTTGCATGCATTTCAGCGCCCATATGAGGGACCGACGGCTGCCAAAATCCGGTGTAAACAATCGAGTTCAAATATCTCACACAAATTTCGTCTTTCATCGTGGTCATAGTAAGCGATGACTTTAGGGGCTGCATCCAGAGCTGATTTTCATTTTTGTATATAAGTATTCCTTCCACAAAATCCGTTAAAGAAATAATTTCTCAAATATTTGTCAAGCATTTCAGTCAACCTGATCAGTGATGTGAATCCCAAGCAAACAAATACAAAGGTTATATTTGTTAATTTATGTAAGAGTATTGCTATAGACCCCCCTCACTGATGAAGCTGACTATAATGTCGGTGACATACTTAAGTGTGCCTATCTAAATAATAAAACAAGTGAGGAAACGAACAATGAGCACGTCCTTCGTCACCTCGCAATTCTAGCCATCAAGGAAATAAGTTCACACTGCGTCTACAAGATAAATGGATTTCGCGGCCACACAGGTGGCCACTGCATTTTGCTCATTATATGCACATTTGTCTTTACTATAACATTGAAAATTCCTTTACTAATAAACACTAAATCCTTCTGGCTAGCCACCTAGCCACGAGTTGTGGACTCGAAAAGATCATAAAATTAGGGATATTATAAAAAAATAATTACTTATCTTGAATTAATATAAGCGGATCTGAAGACTGCATTCATTAAATATACTGTACATGGCTTTCATGAATATGAGTCTCGCTACCGAGCCTTAGGCCACCCATTAAGCTTAACAACTTGGTGAAGTGGCAATATAGAATTTCTGCAAAACGAATTTTATTGATGGCCATTAGGTTCGGAATACATACCAATAGATGCTTTATTTCCTGCTCTGTCAATGCCTGCAGTCGAAGGTCGGGTAAAAACAGCAATTTACTAAAAGCCCTGCGGTATAGAATGTTAGGCTTACTCATTTTGCCGTTCGGCACTGTTGAGTTTGGTCTGTAATTCATGGACGGTCCCCTTGAGATCGTTCTTCCTTTCGGTCACACGTTCAATCCTTATCTAGATTGAAAACGAAGAAGAAAGTCAGGACGTGAGTTTGTGTATGTATATGTGTATGATAATATAACAGATGAGATGGATGATTTGGATTTAAGTGTAAGAATATGGCAGGAAAAGGCGTAGGTAAGCAAAGGATAACAATATTTTGTGGATAATATCTAAATAGCAGATTCCCAAACGAAATATATACAAACCCTAAGACGCAGGTCCTTTCCAGAAAGCTAAACACACTACATCTCTTCGGAAGAAGGACCGTTAACAATGATAAGAAGGGAGCAAATTCGAGAGGTGGTCTCTGCAGACTTTAAATATCAAGAGTTGTCAAGGTGACCATATTCTACGGACACTAGCTGATAACGGCTTAACAGACCCCAAGGTCAGTGGGGGAATAACATTCGTTACACCGTTGTGCCTTCTAAGGGCTAATAAGGAGCAATATATGACTTTTAAACTGTACACAAAAGCAATCTGCGATCGAAAAAAACCATTATGGTGTGCAAAGTAAGTAAGCTCTTAATTTTCTCTCCTCGACCAGACTAGGCCCTGTCCAGGTACCCGAGAGATTCCATTTTGGATCTGGCATAGTGGGCAATGAGTTGGAACTGGCTGAGAAGGCGTTCATTTGTTAACTAAGAGTCCTTGTTTAAGCAAAAATGAGAGTGCTGATGCGAAACAGGAAGTCCAAAAAGTAGCGAATCTAGTAATAATTCAAGTGCCAAAGCAAGTCGTATGTGTTTAAACAGATGTGTATATATGGCGGCAAGTAAGTAGCTTAGTTATTGGAATTACGTAGATATTTAAAAGAGGGTCAATCGGGAATTTGGAAAAAAATTCATATTCTTTTTAGTGTAAAATATTGTATTTTTAAGTGCAAATGTAAGCTTCAAAGTTATGCGACCTAATTACTTTGCCCAGAATAAGATAAGTTCTTTCAAAGTCCAAAAATCTAAGTGGCTTAGGCGGAATAGCGTAGTGTTGTTGCATATAATAATAGTAACGGTCGTGTGGCTCCATACTCCAGAATTTACTTGATCGTCTATGATAAAATAAAGTATACGAAGAAAGAGCATGGAATTAGCTATTTTAAAGGAATCTAAATAGGGAAATGAATACTTAATCCTGAAAAAGGGGCTTTTTAAAAAAGAATAATGGAAAATTCCTTACCAAAGTTTCATTGTAGTCCTTTTGCAATTCATTTAGCTCAGCTTCTAAAGTTCTTCTGGCTCTGGCGGCCTCCTCTTGAATTGAGTTTAGCTGTTTCTGGTGGTCCTGAACGTTCTGAAAGCGCCAAAATGCATAATAGAAACGATAGACGAAGAGGTGAATCCCGTTAATATGCCATAGCAGAAAATATGCAAATTTAAGTAATTAGAAATACTGAGTTTAGAAGAATCCCTTAAAAAGTTAATGTTGGAATACCATTCATTTTGCTTGAAGAGGCGAGCTGAAGGCATTCATAAGTTGACCTCCCGAAGGCTGTCTTGAAGCTGTAACTGTGGATTTGTGTGAATAGGTCCTGGGCACACCGCCCTGCGACACCGACGAATCTTTGCTAAGATTTCGTCAGTAGTGTGACGGACCTCGTCAGAGCAAGGCACCATGCTTCATGATAATTCACCAAAACACGAAGAAATAGGTAGGTTTGTAGCCAGCCATCCTTCTTTTCTTCGTGTTTTGGTGAATTACAGTAAAGAATGGTGTCCTGCTCCGACGAGGTCCATCACATGAAGGACGAAAATTCAGCAAGGATTCATCGGGGTCGCAGAGCGGTATACCAAGGGCCAATTCGCAGAAATCTATAATCACAGCTCAAAGGCAATCCCTCTACAGCTTCCGATGAGACCAACTAACAAATCATTTCTAACGAAACGAAATGCGTAGCAACATGACTGATTTTAGAAGTTGTTTAACATTGTTTTCGCAACTTGGTCATAGTGATAGGAAGATCTAGAGAAACGCACCTAGTCCAGAGTCAGTAGTATGCATGATAATTTCCAGAGTCGGATAATGGACGTCGTATATTCCCCGACGTTGCAGGTCTTAGCACCACACTACAACTCGTCAAAAAGACAAAGAAAGCCGATCCTTTGACCAATTATCTGCTAAACAATTTTTACTTGCTTATTTAAAGGTGGTGTAGTGTTCCATTTTGAGCGGATTTTATGAGAACTCTCCATACCCCATGCTGGCTTTCACATCCCCCTTCCCTTCATCCTTGTGCTGGGAATGTTGATTAGAGTCTGCCATATTGTTTCGCAGTCTCCCTCTTGCCCCGTAGGATCCGCCTGCTATCTCCCTGGTTCAAGTATTTCGCTCGACCCCTGCCACCTTATCTGTGCTACTCGAGGCCTTATTTCTCACATTCTGCCTCTGGGAGATTATGGGAGACTAACTTGAGGATAAGGACCCCGAGTAATTATCATCGTCAAG